GTCTGGTGGTTCCTTGGTTATAGCTCCTCCATTATTAATAGGTACAGCATTGATATCACAATGTAATCGGAGCTGATCACAACTTGTCATGAGTGATCCAGTCATCTCGATGAGCGTTCGGGCTGTGAATAAACAACTTGTGTTTTACTTTTAGGCTGTCTGAAGGTATGGACAGCTATCAAAGCTACTATACATCACATTAAGAACGATGTACAAATGAAAGTCGGACACAAATATATAATTTAAATGATTTATTCAAGTTTGCAATATTTTGAACAGGCATCCACACAGTCACCTACTTTGTAATGTTCGATACCTCCCTGTAAGCGTCACGATATCCACCTCTCACCCACAACCTCACATACGAGTACTGAATGTGCATCAAAGTGATCTTAGGAAGGCAGATATAGCAAAAGATTAACGTAAACGACAAACGAGGCGATCGACATGGTAAGTCAACAATGGGTCCTCAATGTACACGCCCCGGATTCCTATGACGAAAATAATAGAATGTCGCCAGTTGTCATGACTCACGTTATACTGCAACACTGGTTCACTTCCAGCTCCAAAAAATTGTCGGTCTAGAGCAGGGATCACCCATATACAGTCTATGGGATCACCACATTTGTCCGAGGCCCAACATTTATCCAATAGAGGCAAGAGCTTCGGAGCTAAGAGGCGGCGTCGCTTACGTCTCTCTTACGTCGAGGCGGGTTGAAGTAGATGCTGAAGACCACAAAGAAGTCTTGCATTTCGCATGTGATGTTTGTAAAGTTCCAAGTAAAGTCGTCCCTTGTAAAGTCATCCGATGACTTCCATTTCGTTTCGTAAGAGGATAACCAAAGCGAACAGCGCTTCAATACAATCGGCCATTGTTGTTGTTGTTGTCGTTGTGAGGGATTTCCGCGCGGTTTGGATTTTATGAAGCAGGCACGTAAACGGTGACGTCATGACGCAGCAGCGGCAGCTCTGGGCGGTGTGAACAGAGCGGGAGCAGAAAAGGGAAACCGGAGCTGAAACCAGAAAAGCTCCAGCTCGGAGCTAGAAAGGGAAAAGCGCTGGTGTGAAAGCCGCATCTTATACCTCATTCACACCAACGCAACTCCGGTTCAAGCTCCGTGCTAGAGCTTTTCAGGTTCAGAACCGGTTCTTCGATTTAGCGGAGGCTCTTTTCACACCGCCCAGAGTCCGACTGGTGCTGCGTCATCGTTTGCGTCATGACGTAACCGTTTGCGTGCCTGCTTCATAAAGCCAAACCGCGCGGAAACCCCTCACAGCTGACACCGACAACAACAACAATGGCCGATTGTGCTCCAGCTTCCTCTGCACCTCTTCGGAAGACCAGATTCCCAGTAGGTAGCTGGTCTCTTCAGTGGACCACTGCTGCTTGTTAAGTTTCTCCATCGTTGTGTACAAGCTGGATAAAACGCGGGCTTCTTGTTGTTGTTCAGGAGTTGATCCCCGCCTCGACGTAAGCGTGACGTATGCGGTGCTTTTGCTCTGGCCGGACAATTTTTTGGTGCTTGAAACGAACCGGATTCGGCCCGTAGCCCGTAGCGGGACCTAGCTGGCAGTTGCTTACAGATGGTTAAACAAACTCCAAAGCGTAAAGGCGTGTGTATATTTAGTTTGTGTATACAGTATACAGTATTGTAGCTAGCCCTGTGTTCAGAGGGAGGGGCTTGCATAGGGGGGTGTTCAGGAGGAGTGGCTGTACCTGTACCCGTAGGATAGAAAAGGGGGAAGTGACAGAGGTCGCGCGCACAGTCTATGGTCGCGCGGCTGTGGAGAAGAACGTGTTGCCCACATTCTGTTACTGAGTTTAGGCTAGTTAGCAAGCAGGTTTATTGTTCTGGGTGCAGTCACTTTTGCCTCCACTTGCTGTTCAAATAAATGTTGAAAGAAAAAGTAAATCTGTTTACAGTTCTGTTTCATATGGGTGTTGAGAGATGTATCCATAGATTTAGTCCCTAATTTTGCTCTCAAAGTGCACCAGATTGACGCTTTTAACTTCGACAACATTTAAAAAAAAATCTCACCCACATTGAGGATGCTTCCTACGCCCATGTTTTATTCCATGCGTCAAGTCAGGCAAATTGGGTCCAAATGTTATTGCATCAATGATCTGTTAACATTCAAATCAATAAATATATGCTGTAACTATTTTGCTCTAGGCAACTCAAGGGCTCAGGTAATGTGATTACTATATGAATAATGGTCCAAAATAACATTAAATGCATAGGATTTTTTGTTAAGTGACATACTTTCGTCGCCGGCCGGCCGATACATGCTGCGCATTAAGTGAGCCTGTCTGTCAATTAATCCCCGGGCCACTTTTTCCCCCCAGTCCGACCCTGGTGTGTGTGACCAATCTGCGGAGCCGTTACGTCACTATACTCGTTACGTCACTCGTTACGTCACTATACTCAGGAAGAAATAATGGAAAAATTAAAATCTCCAACGAGGCGTTCTGGAGCAGCATAGACAGGTATTTTCTGTGTTTTACTCGCTACAGGGTGTACTTTGAGGGTTTGTGACTTTGCAGACCGTTTACATGCAGAAAAAGCTACATAACAAGGGGACGGTAATAACCAGAAAAGCATGTCATGGGACCTTTAAATTAATACTTTTCCGAAACATAATGCTTTAAAAGTAAACTTCAGACTACTATTTTTCTTTCACGTTAAAAAATGTCCTCATCACCATGGAAATACAACATTGCTTCACAAAGACAGCACAACAACAGACCAATAACAAATCAAGAGGTTTACAGTTTTTCTCGATTGCTAACACACCAAAATTATACATAAAGCACAATTATTTTAACTGACACTCAAAGAGCAAAACATCGGCTCAAATCTCCAAAACTCTAAACACGTTTTCAGCTTTTCACACAATTTGCAAATCAACATGGCACTTTTTGCAAACCACTGCACACGTTTCTCCACGTAAGACACAGGAATCTGACATAAAGTCACAGTGTGAGCAGGTTTAAAACACTGATATTCAAAATGCCTCACACATGGACCAATGATCAAGAAACAAGTTCCACCTGACCAAACACCTGATAGCAAAATCGTTGGCTCATCAATCAGGATGTTAGCACTATAAAAAGACCACATGAGTACTTTCTTACAGCAACAATGGAAGCCAACATGGAAGCAAGAGGAAGAGGAGAGGAGGAGGAACTCTCTAATGAAATGAAATGTTATCAACCATGGTTTGACGATGAGAGAGACTGGACGGAGGGTTCAGCCTAATCTAAACCGATTTACTGTTGCCTCTGTAATCCGGACATTTAGGCCCATTCCCAAACCGCCCCCTACACCCTACCCCTCCGTTTGCGCGTTCACGCGGAGGGTCCGCCATATTAAGGGCTGTTCCAAACCAACGAGTGTGGAGCGGTGTGGAGGGGGAGTGGGCTATCAAGCCCTCAAACAGCGAGGTTGCGTTCCGATAATCCAAAAATCAGCTCCTAAATTCTAACCCTATCTCCTATTCCTTGACCTCTGAGTGAAACGTCACGGGGTTAAGGGATAGTGGATAGGAGAATTCAAAAGGATTTAGGAGAAGAGACTGCACTTTCACTATCCGACGTGTTTATGATGCGCCAGCGGACGTCATAAATGTGCGTCTGCTGCTGTGGGGAAACTATGGAAACTACAGTTTTCTATACAGCGGACTACAACATGGATGTATAATAAGAACGAGGGATTACTGTAAACTGGACAACAGAGAAACATATTCTTCATGACCAAAGATGGAATTGAAATAAAAACCCTCTCCCTCCGATCCCAATACGTATGATTGTATGAACTATGAAAATATCTTAAAATCAATACAAATGTATTTATTATAAACGTTAGTCCTTAACATCTATCACTGTGTATATCACCATTCAAACATATTTTAAAAGTTGAACAAACTTAAAGACTGTGAGATGTTGACTTTATTTGATCATTTCAGTAAAAACTAACGTTCATATTTCTCTTTTTGATTATAATACTGATGAACGTTCAAAACAAAGCACTTTGGCAACTTACCACATACATTTAAAATGCTTAATAAGCCTCGTAACTTTCATGATATAATTTCTCGGTCATAATCGGTTGTTTCCGTGAACGGCCGACTGTTGTGATGGCAATTGGAAATGGGGGACCCTGATGTAAACAAGACGAAAGTCTTTCTCTGGTCTGCATCCCCTTAACAATTGTATGTTTTGAGCTGTACTGTACTGTACCCAATATACAAGCTGTTAATAAACTTTTCAATCAATCAATCAATCACGGCAAATGCTGCGGCTGCAATGCATTGTGGGGCAGCATTTTCTCCTCTCCTTTCGTCAAGGGAGGTCCAGTGGTTCCTAAGCTAAAGGAGGTTATAAAGGAAGTTTGAAACCTCCTTTCCTTTCATTTAGAGAATTGGAACGGCACTTATCATGGCTGCCAGTGACGTACTTCCGGGTGATTTCACTTGGTTAGGAAGGTTCCTAAGCTAAATGGACTATTGGAACGCAACCCGAGTCTGCATCGGTGCTGACTTGAGACCGGTCTCTACCTGACCGGAGTCACGCTGTGTGTGTCCGTCAGGAAACAAGCTGTTAACAAGTAGTTCCAGCAAACATCCACTCATAAACTACGATGTTAACAACCTCATGATGACCTCATATGTTTCTAACTTAGGATCATACCTGTGTTTAGTCTAGAAAAAGGTAAATGTGTGCATTTTATTATAAAGTTGTGTATATTTACAGATTGTTGCAAAAACTAAGAAGCTTGTAAACATCAGGTGTAAAACTAAAAGAGCTTTACAAAAAAGTAACACAATGAAAGATGTTTGGAGTTTTATTTGAGTTATTAATTTAAAAAAATTGTCTAAGAGATGCTGATTTGAAACCGTTGTTACATACAGTTACGGCACTTCCTGTTTCTGCCGGAGAGAGGGGAGGCCGTCCCAAAGCTTGCCGCTGTATTTACTCCCTCCATCTGACAGGAGGGAGCCTCGTTGAGCTGCGAGTGTGGCTACAGACGGAGTTCACTCCGTCACGGAGGGGTAGGGTCGAGGGAGTGGTTTGGGATTGGGCCTTAGACTTGAAAACAGGTTAGTTAGTTTTAGCTCTGCATAGTTCACGATATATCAGTGCTTATATCTGTTGTGTGAAACGTATTTACTTCATTACTGTAATTGAATTGTTGGCATGTTGCATACTATAACTGTACAAACATCCTGCACAATGTACTGTGGTAAACTTACTTTTATGCAACACACACTCTGACCAACACTATATCTTTGTTGTTTATCTGAAGGACTGAGAAACAAAGAGGTGGAAGGCTAAGGATTTCCAATGAGGCAGGAAGCAGCAGTTACAAACTGGGTTTTGGCAAACAGTGCATCCCACTTAGAGAGATCCGAAGCATAGTAGCTATGTGCTGAGATGCATGTTGCACAATGTTATTTTTGAATAAAATGTGATTTTTTTCAACAACTCATTTGTATTTCTTCATTTACTGTATTTCTGTAAACTCAAGCAATCTTTCTCTGCAGAAACCTCTATGTACAGAGCACAGCCCATAACAGATGGAGGTGGTTTAGAGTATGCTCAGCAGTGTGTAGTTGGGTGGTCAAACGATCTAGTACTATGAATGAAGTGTGTTATATTTGTGCTAAAGTTTGCATTTAAGTGTTTCTGTAGTTTTGAGTGCAGTTCTTCATTTAGCAGGAGAAATTAGGAGTTTTAAAATGTGTGTTAGCAATCGAGAAAAACTGTAAAATCTATAAGGAATAACTCCCTTAGTTATCTGTTTTCCAATGTATACACTGCATTAAAAGAGGGAGGAGTGTCTTTGATGCTTTATATATTCAGTGTGAATCCCCATTTGTTCTATAATTTACATAATAGGACACACACAAATGCTGCCACAAACACTAGGACTAGTTTTTTCATCAATGCAGTGTCCAGAGAGGAGACTGCAGTCAGTATGGAGGGCTTATCAGTGGATGTATCAGAGAAGCAGAGAGGACCCAGAGCAGAGACCTGAGGGACCCCGGTAGTGAGGCTACAAGGTTCAGATTCTCTCCAATCTCTCCTTACCAACTTATTGGCAGAGAGGGGTGAAGAGGATGTTAGAATAGGAGACAAAGAAGGGGACAGTGAAGAGGGGGAGTCAGCAGGTGAGGGAGGAAGTGAAAAGCTTTCATCAGATATCCCTTTCACAAAGTTACAGAGCGGTGAGATGGGAGCGGGAGGCTTCAGCAGGGGCAGGCCTTCCCTCCTCTGCTCCTCCAAAGCATGGAGGAGGAAAGACATCGCTTTGTGGGGGAAGACAGTAGCCCGAGAAGAGGTTGTAGTTGGGAGCGAAGAAGTGAGGGAGGACTCCTGCACGAGTGTGGGCCTCCAGAGCCCCGAGGAGGAGCAGGAAGCAGGTGGGGAGCTGCTGGAGAGCCCACATTGAGTCGTCAAACCTGACAATGAAAATAAAACGTCAGAAAAATGACTGTAAGAGAAATTAGGAAACTGAGAAATATTTATTAGTAGTTCAGTAAGAAACATTTAAGTCAAAAAAGCACTCAAGGTGGAAAGAGTACTAGCACAAGACAGAACAGAGAAGGCATCAATGTCAACAGAAATGACATTTGAACAGTCCGATACAGCATGGAAGAAGGAAGAGCTGGTAGAGCTTGGCCGCTTAGCGACCAGCAGAGGAAGCAGCAATGGGAGGCAGGGAAAGGCAGCTTAAATTGGCACCCCGTTCACAATATATCATACACACACCTTGTAAAAACATCCGCTGGAACACCTTACGGCAATTTGCAGATTTTATTCATAATAAATATAATGGAATGAAGTCCTACCTGATGGACAGCATGTGAAGGAAGGCGGTCTTCCCGTGGTACGAGCAGAGGGGATCCAGCTCTTTGGGGAAACGTTGTTTCAGACCTTCAATCAGAGACTTGAGCAGCATCAAGCACCTTTTACTGCCAGAGAGAATAGCAAATCATTTATTGTGAAAGGGCCCAAATAAAAAAATTTATTGTAAAATACATTTCAGTCAGACAACTCACGTGTTTCTTTAACATGTTTATTAGAAGCAGCATATCGTTAAGTTTGGCGACTAGGCTCGGGCATCATCACTCCATAGATATACATAGCACGATGAGTGATGATCAAATAACTAACCCCTGAGCCTACAGGTGGAAGCTGGGGTGGTGGTGGGGCAGCAAGCAGCAGCGACGTGGAAGTCGCTGCAGCATAGCAGCAGCAAGCAATGCATGGAGAGAGATCTGGCAGGTTCAATAGAGCGGGATATTAAGGAGACTCTGTTTGGTTGGTTGTAGAGTGGCAAGGGGCGTTATGTATGAATGCAGCACAGGTGCTCGAGTTGACTGCCTGAACTAGCTCGCAGGCTTCGCCCCATTTATTTATAATAATAATAATAATAACTATTTATATTGCACCTAAAAAACTATTTTACAAATGCAAGAAAATGAAGATAACATTAAAACATGAAGATGCATGGGAACAACTACAAAACTAAAATAGTTTTTATAATCTGATCTTATTAAGAATGACTAAATACAACTTAAAATCCTTTAATTAAGATATCCTATGTGTCCTATGTGAAAGCGGCACAGAATATGCTCAATAAATAGTTTTATAAAAAGCTAATATTAAGATATTTAATTTCAGCGAAGCTCTGTATAACCTCTCACCTCTTCAGAACTGCTTTTAATCTGTAATTAATGTTTTGTTTTATATATTTAAAGTGTGTTGTTTATATGAATTTTTACTCTGTAAAGTGTCTTTGTGTTTCAAGAAAAGCGCTCCATAAATAAAATGCATTATTATTATTATTATAACCTACAATACCTGACACTATTTTTTAGATTAACAAGGAACTAAATGTTACGAAGATGCGAAGATAAAGAGTTCAGAGCCTAACCGGCAGCATTTGTTGGCTTTGCCCTCACAGCAGGTTTTCTTGTTGCCATGGCTCGTGATGATTTTCTTCTCAACGTGAGAGAAAGAAATCCTCCAACTTTCTGTTGCAGAAAGACAAAAACACACTGATGGGAACATGTCATCACACAAATATCATAAACACTCACACAATAATGACAGTCCTACATGTTCTCCTGTAGTAGTCGGCATGAGAGGATTACTGAACACGTCTGTCTTGGCAGGATTTCCCTGAAAAATACATGTTCCAACTACAACGAGACAAAAAGCAACTACAACAAGGGACCACAGACACAAACTAACTAAAATGACACAGGATGTTGGAAACAAAACAAAGTTACTAAAAACGAAATGACCTTAGAAAAAACACCCATTTACGAACTCAAACTATGGTAAAGGAATAGAAAATGTCCATGAAGAGAGACACAATGATCACAGAGGTTACACTACTTTAAAGTGTATTGCTCATTGGAGGAGAGCTGGTGATGCCCTTAACAGGTCTGTGCCAAGGGGCCTATCATCTCATGATCCATGCAGGGTAGACAGGAGGAACATTCAAGCAGAGCTACATTGTCTGTTAATAAATCATTTTTATATGCACATTGTTGCCTTTATTAGACACAGATGAGCTGAAATGAGGAGAGGGGATGAGGGTATGCAGAAGACCTTTGATTTTGTCAGTCATTTTTCTTCACAGACAGATGTTTCTCTCACCTTTGGCTTCCCCGCTGAGGTTTCTTCCCTTCATCCTCTTTGGTACGAAGTAACACGGTAAACTGGTGATCTCTTTGCGAACCTTCTTTCCCAGCCAGTTATCCACATCGGGTCCGTTACGGACTGGGAGAGGCCAGCCCTGAGAGGAGTGAACCTCCAAACAGGAACAGGGACAAGTGCCAACTCTCATTGGTGGAATATGTTGAAGGGTATATTTGAGGTATGTGTGCTTTAGTTGAGTTATTCAATCGTGTGCTACTTTCAATTTAAACTACATCTCAGGCAAATAATGTACTTTTAATTTTACTACCTTTATTTGTCAATTCAGTTAGCAGAACTAAATCCTTCAGTTAGCAGAACTAGATTAATAGAAAATATATTCAACCGATACAAATGATTTGTTATTATTAATTAAGCTACCAAGCGGTATATAAGACTTTTAAAATCAAGTATGTTAGAGTATAATATACTTTGTTCTGAAATACTGCATAACAAAATGAGATGAAACTATGTCTAGAGTCAATCTTTTGACTGAAAAATAATTATAATTGTTTTCATGCAAAGATATCAGAACATGTATTTTTCAGTCACTCACATGTAGAGATTTCCAGATTTTCTCTGTTTTGAATCATACTTAAGTTAATATCTTCCGGTTTTGGACTGACATCACCTTGGACTTTGAGAAAACTAGATGGGCATTTGTTTTATTTTCTGACATTTGTCATAGAACAAATTATTCATTAATTAATTTAGAAAATAACTGGATGATTCATCGAAAATGAAAATAATATATATAAGTGCATTTAGTCTTTTTTTCCCCTTTAATTTGCAACTTATGTTTTAGGACTTTCAGTGTCTCTTATCAGTATCTGTAATCCAAAAACCATGGAACATTTCTGCAGATTGACACTACTCTTCAAAAATAAACTGATACAATGATTTACCTCCAGAGCAGGAACCAGGTCCAGAGAGATCAACTCGTCGCTGTACATGTCATTCCTGAACAGAGACAAGGTCACAGCCGGTGAGCCGGGTTTCTTCCTGTTCACCTCCCAGCGACAGCCTTCATCTGGCACTGGAAGTAAGAAACACGATTAAAAGGATTATCCAGGTTCCCAAAGCAGGATGAATGTCAACAAAATATACAGAAAATGAGTCGTAAAATCTCCAATTCTAACAGAAAGTAGGGCAGAGAGATGATTGACCAGACCTTTGTAGTTCTTGAGGAACTTGCGGACCAGGCGAAACGTCTCACTCAGGATCTTGCTGGATGAGAGGGTGAGCCCATTCTCCAGGAGAAAAACTTGTATGGGGCCCCGAGTCGGCCGGACAAGATCGATCTGGTAGAAAAGGCCTTCGTCGAGCTCCTTCATGTTGAAGCGTGACGGAGCCTGAAGCTTCAGCATCATGTCGAACTCATCCGGGCTGTGGATCTGAGATTAAACAGCGACAATGGAGGTGCTTGTTTGTGTTCTGTCAATAGAGTATTTCTTTCTCTCTTCTCAAGAAACCCATTCAACATTGACTTTAAACACAATATATCATTTTCTGTCACTAGGGGTCCCTCAATCTCAACAATAACGAGAAACTAAATGTTCTAGTATTTTAGGATCATGGGGGTTGTTGTTTCCAACACCATTAACGTCATTGCAGTAATGTTCTCCCGGTTCGATTTTCTCATTGTTTAGGAGTTTTTTCCAGGTGCTGAATTCCTTGCAAAGCTGTCCTACTCTCCGTAACAAACTCACCCGCTGAGTTAAACCAATTAAAGACTTCACAAAGCACATTCACATTAGAAATAAGGGGTTGTGAGGCGCAATACCACTTCCGCTTAATCAAGATCCTAAATTCTAAAAAGTAAAAATAAAGAGTTAAAGACAGCTATGATCTAAAAGGGTTTGGTAAAAATGTGGCCTAAAACTGGATAAAAAGTCCATTTATGACAGCTTCTGGCAGACAATTACTAACCTTGCCACAGCTTGAAAGGGGAACGTGCCCATAACAGTTGAACAAATGTAACAGTGTCACCTTAATTAAAATGTAGTTTTAAAAAGTAATTGGAAATATTGGGACAATAAAATGTCACCAAAAATGTAACACAAGCACTGTAGATTTTTAGACATTTTAGACATAATATTATCAGTCACAATATTCCCTGTGTTTGTAGCTGTATGGTTGCATTTAGACATTTTAAAAGTTCATCAAGTTCTCACCTTCACTTTCTCAAAGTAGCTGCCGGTGGTGAGGAAGTCAGCTGACTGGAAGAATGGCTGATCACTGCTGCTCCGCAGGAATTTCACCAGGTTGTCTCGGAAATCGTTGACCACCTCTGCAGCCCAGCGGCGGTCTGTCTGCGGGATCTTTAGCTCATTGGCGTTGGCTTTGATCCAGGAGCTCAGCTCCGGGGAGATGGAGACCGGCTCCTCCAGCACTTTGGACCACTCCTCTGCAAGGAGACAATAAGACTGCAGCTCAAATTTACTAAATACTGTACCATGTTCACATTTAACCTTACAGATTACATTACATTAAATGTTTATGTCCCTTGAAAAACCCTGTTCCTCCAAATGTGTTGATTTCAATTGTTTGTGATTGAATTAAGTGGGTTTTATTAATGTGTTTTCAACATTTCCCATCATCTTAAACTGAATACAATATTTAAAAAGCCTCTTTGATTGTCTAGAAATGCATCTTCAGAAAGCTGAAAACATTGATGTTTTTCTACAAAACTTGTAAAAGTTGACTTTAAAGATACAGGACAGCTACAAAGTTATAATGATCTGCTGCTGATTGCTACATATTAAACTGATTCAAAAGGTTTATAAAGGAAAACATAAAGGACAACTTTAAACATTTAAAGCAGTAAAACTAAGGTTTCCAGATTTACGTGTAGTGGATTATTTTCTATTGCAGTTTGGAGAAAATAAATGCTTGAATGAATACAGGCCGAGAGTTGTACACACTAACACAGTTGAAACTGCAGTATCACCTGTAGATTTTTGCTGTTGAACTTTTTTTCTTGCTGGCGTGAGTCGTAGAGGACTCGCTTTTCCCCTTGTGGCATCTTTACGCTGCGTCTCTTCAATCAGACCGGCCTTCACATCTCTATCCTCTCGGTCCATATTCACACGTCCCAGCCCTGAGTATTTATGTACAGAAAACAGATAAAGAACATCTTGAAGTAGAAACCAGTTGTTTTTGGTTGAAATGTTTGAGAGAGAACGTTGTCTTTTTCCCAATGATAAAAACATCAGATCGCCATGATTTAACAGCATGTACATTATTTTGGCATTAGCAATAACTTAAACACATGTAAAGTTTCTGTTTCAACTACAACTATTTGACAAGCTTGACAGCAAGTTGGTAAAGATGAAACAAACGAAAGACACCCAATTAACTACATCACCCATGCCCCCAACATTATTTTCCTTACCCTAACAATGAGTGTGTCCACAGCTTTATTCTAACTTAACATCAGGTTGGTAATTCATCTTCAGATTCAGATTTCCGGACATACACTTTGAAAGTGAAGCAGTTATGAATCACTAGTCGATTAAGAGGAGTGCTGAGTCAGCAGTCAATGATGGTATGATAGCAGTCAATACAAATAATACACTTTGCAATCATCTTTGAATTCACATCACTGCAACCATGAGAGGTTTTTGAGCACAAATGAGCATAAAAACACACACACACACATACACTCACTCACTCTCTCTCACTCTCTCTCTCTCACTCACACACACACACACACACACACACACACACACACACACACACACACACACAAACACAACAGTATCTCCTAACGCCTGAGTCTATCTAACAAATACTATTACATTAATTAGAGAGCGATGACAGATTGATAGACAGATAGATGGATAGATTTCTAGTGGTTAACCTCACCAGTGTTTGTTGAGCTTCTATTGCAATCAGTGATAGGAGCTATTGTGTGTCTTCCCTTCTCTTCAGCTCTATTCAGTCTATTTGCTTTCACTTTCAATTTCTACTAAATGTAATCTGATGCTGTTGCCTTCCACCTGCACAGTTCCACCCATGATAATTACGCTCCTCCTGTTTGGAGGTCACATATTGGTCCAACCAGTTGCACAAGTCTATACGTGTCACTTTTTCAAAAGGTTTTTCTTTAAATTATTCGGGCCATGTAGCAGTTCATAACGAAATAACATGTTACCTTTTTTTTCAGTTGCTAACACAGAAAAAATCTCACATGAAGCATAATTATTTAAACTCACACTCAAAGATCAAAACCTCAGCTCAAATCTACAAAAACATTTTCAGCTCTGCGCCCAATTTGCAATTCAACTTGGCACTTTTTGCAAAACACTAAGTAAGACACAGTAATCTGACATTTTCACTTATTTGCCATTTTTAAAACATTGCCATTAAAAATGCCACACACATGAACCAATCAACAAATACACGTGCCAAATGATGGAAATGCTTTATTGTTGACTGAGCAATCAGGATGTAAGCACTTGAACAAGGCTCCACATAATACCTTTTTACAACATCAATGGATATATGGACAGCAGCAAGAGGAAGAGGCAGAGGGCACCGGGGACACATATTTATGTATAAAAGACATCACAAAGTGCATTTAGCATGATAGGTCCCCTTTAAAGTAATGGATAAACAGTTTGAATAGTTAGCTTACAGTTTCTCGATTGCTAACACACATTTTTTTTTAAATTGCTCAGTTTCTCAGAACACTAAACACAATTCACAAAACCCCACACCCAAATTGCAAAACTCCTAATTTCTCCTGCTAAATGAAGAACTGCACTCAAAACTACAGAAACACTTAAATGCAAACTTTAGCACCAAATATAACACACTTCATTCATAGTACTAGATCGTTTGACCACCCAACTACACACTGCTGAGCATACTCTAAACCACTTCCATCTGTTATGGGCTGTGCTCTGTACAGAGAGGTTTCTGCAGAGAAAGATTGCTTGAGTTTACAGAAATACAGTAAATGAAGAAATACAAATGAGTTGTTGAAAGAAATCACATTTTATTCAAAAATAACATTGTGCAACATGCATCTCAGCACATAGCTACTATGCTTCGGATCTCTCTAAGTGTGATGGCATTGTTTGCCAAAACCCAGTTTGTAACTGCTGCTTCCTGCCTCATTGGAAATCCTTAGCCTTCCACCTCTTTGTTTCTCAGTCCTTCAGATCAACAGCAAAGATATAGTGTTGGTCAGAGTGTGTGTTGCATAAAAGTAAGTGTACCACAGTACATTGTGCAGGATTTTTGTACAGTTATAGTATGCAACATGCCAACAATTCAATTACAGTAATGAAGTAAATACGTTTCACACAACAGATATAAGCACTGATATATCATGAGAGTATTCTTCTTTGTCCACGTCTTCTCCCTCCAGCTCTACCTCTACCTCTCATTCCTCCTCCTCTCACTAACAGCCCAGCTCTTCCTCTTGCTCTTCCTCTTGCTTCCATGTTGGCTTCCATTGTTGCTGTAAGAAAGTACTCACCTGTGGTCTTTTTATAGTGCTAACATCCTGATTGATGAGCCAACAATGATGCTACCAGGTGCTTGGTCAGGTGGAACGTGTTTCTTGATCATTGGTCCATGTGTGAGACATTTTGAATATCAGTGTTTTAAACCTGCTAACACGTGACTTCATGTCAGATTCCTGTGTCACGTGGAGAAACGTGTGCAGTGGTTTGCAAAAAGTGCCATGTTGATTTGCAAATTGTGTGAAAAGCTGAAAACGTGTTTAGAGTTTTGGAGATTTGAGCCGATGTTTTGCTCTTTGAGTGTCAGTTAAAACAATTGTGCTTCATGTATAGAGAGAGAGAGAGAGAGAGAGAGAGAGAGAGAGAGAGAGAGAGAGAGAGAGAGAGAGAGAGAGAGAGAGAGAGAGAGAGAGAGAGAGAGAGAGAGAGACTTAATTAATTTGTATTAATTAAAATATTAATTGTAATTATTATTATTAACAATTATTTCCGAGGCACACGTTTATATGATCATTATAGTTATACAAAAATAAGAGAACAGGTATGAAAATACTATATGACATAAAAAGAATAAAGTTTAAAAGGGGAGTGATTTGTAAAATATCCATAAAGAGAAAGAAAATCTGTTTACAGTTCTGTTTCATATGGGTGTTGAGAGATGTATCCATAGATCTCTTCATGTTGTGTTACGGTCTCAGGCACTTAGGATGTTGGACCCAATTGCAGACAGGGAGACAGAGGTAAAGTATTGTAAGATACTTTATTTTTCCATGACTGGAAAAAATGAACAAAAAGGTAACCACCAAAACTCTAGTCGAGATGACAAAAATACAAAGAACAAAAAATGAAGGCGCTCACGCAGTGAGGAATCAAAAACCTTTCATGAGTACCAGGAGCATAAACCTTACCATGACAATAGACAAGACGAACTGACACTGAACACTGGGAGACAGGGGAATTCAAACACAGGGTAACTAGACACAGGTGGGAACAATCAGGGGCGGGGCTGACACTGATGAGCACAGGAGACACACAAGGAGTGATAGGTGAAAACAATCAGGAAATTAGACACACCAGGGAAACTAACGACAGACATGAAAACACAGGGAAAAGAGACCAGACAATATACAGGGAGGAAAACATGACAAGGAGAACGGAAAAACACCCACACCTAGACATAGAAACGTGACATGACATAATAATCCTGACAGAACCCCCCCCTCAAGGGACGGATACTAGACGTCCCTAAACTAAAAATAAATAAATCCAAAACGTCCAGCAGGGTGGGTGGAGGGGGTCCGGAGGACGGGCCTTGACTGACAGCCCAGGGCACGGCAGAGGACCAGGAAGGGGTCTCGGGCGGACGGCCCGGGGGCAAGGCAGAGTTCGAGGAGAGGGTCTCGGGCGGACGGCCCGGGGGCAAGACAGAGTTCGAGGAGGGGTGAAGACCACAGCGGGCAAACTCAGGGGACCGGGCTCGAGGGCGAACACCGGACAGCTCCGGAGGCCGGGCAGGAGCCGGTGTCGGCAAGATCCCCCACGGAAGAGGACACAGGGCCAGCAGGACCCCCGGCAGGAGAGCAGTTGGCGGAACCTCCAACGGCACGGGACATGGGGTTGGCAGGACCCCCGGCAGAAGAGTAGTCTGCGGGACCTCCAACGGGACAAGACATGGAGTTGGCAGGACCCCCGGCAGAAGAGCAGTCTGCGGGACCTCCAACGGGACAAGACATGGAGTTGGCAGGACCCCCGGCAGAAGAGTAGTCTGCGGGACCTCCAACGGCTCAGGACATGGGGTTGGCAGGACCCCCGGCAGAAGAGTAGTCTGCGGGACCTCCAACGGGACAAGGCATGGAGTTGGCAGCACCCCCGGCAGAAGAGGAGTCTGCGGGACCCCCAACGGGACAGGACACAGGGTTGGCAGGACCCCCGGCAAAGAGAGTAGTCGGCGGGACCCCCAACGGGACAGGACACAGGGTTGGCAGGACCCCCGGCAGGAGAGTAGACAGCGGGACCTCCAATGGGACAGGACATAGGGTTGGCAGGACCCGCGGCAGGAGAGTAGTCGGTGGGGCCTCCAACGGCACAGGACATAGGTTTGGCAGGACCCTCGGCAGGAGAGTAGACGGCGGGACCACCAACGAGACAGGACAAAGGGTTGGCAGGACCCCCGGCAGAAGAGTAGACGGCGTGACCTCCAACGAGACAGGACAAAGGGTTGGCAGGACCCCCGGCAGGAGAGTAGTCGGCGGGGCCTCCAACGAGACAGGACAAGGAGCTGGCAGGACCCCCCGGCAGGAGAGTAGACGGCGGGACCTCCAACGGGACAGGACAAAGGGTTGGCAGGACCCCCAGCGGAACCTCCAACGGTACATGAGTAGGGACTTGAGTGGGAACTCGAGAGAGGGCTTGAGAGGTAACTCGAGAGGAGACTCGAGTGGGGACTTGAGAGGGGACTCGAGAGGGAACTTGAGAGGGGACTCGAGAGGGAACTTGAGAGTGGACTCGAGAGAAGACTTGAGAGTGGACTTGAGAGGGGACTTGAGAGGGAACTCGAGAGGAAACTTGAGAGTTGACTTGAGAGGTGACTTGAGCGGAATCTCGAGAGGGAACTTGATCGGAGACTCGAGAGGTGACTAGAGAGGGAACTCGAGAGGTGACTCGAGAGGGAACTCGAGAGGGAACTCGAGAGGGAACTCGAGAGGAGACTCGAGAGGAGACTCGAGAGGTGACGAGAGGGGACTTGAGAGGGAACTTGAGAGGGGACTCGAGAGGTGACTTGAGAAGAGACTTGAGAGATGACTCGAGAGGTGACTTGAGAAGAGACTTGAGAAGAGACTTGAGAGGCGACTCGAGAGGGGACTCGGGAGGTGACTCGAGAGGGAACTCGGGAGGTGACTTGAGAGGAGACTTGAGAGGGGACTCGAGAAGAGACCCGAGAGGGGACCTGAGAGGGGACTCGAGAAGAGACTTGACAGGGGACCTGAGAGGGGACTTGTGTCGGTCGGTACACCGACAGGACACGGGGAGCTGGCGTCGGCTGGAGAGCCAACAGGAGACGAGGAGCTGGAGTTGGGACAATAGCTACTGGGGCCGGTACTGAAGCCGGAACCATGGCTGCTGGGGCCGGTACTGAAGCCGGAACCATGGCTGCTGGGGCCGGAACTGGGGCCGGAACCATGGCTGCTGGGGCCAGAACTGGGGCTGGACCCATGGCTGCAGGGGCCTGTACTGGAGCCGGAACCATGGTTGTTGGGCGCGGAAGCCTGGACCCTGGCTGTGTAAGCCAGGTAATGGAGTATGGAGGCATGGCTGCTGGGGCCTGTACTGGGGCAGGAGCCATGGCTCTTGGGGCTCGGGCTGCTAGCTTGGCTTTGCGACTCCTTCTCTTAGCAGCCGCCTGAAGGCTCCGTGGACCTCCATAAGCCAGACCAGACCCCAAGAAAGGGTCAGAACATGAAGACTGGCACTCAGGGCTGCGTGAGAAAACCTTAAGCCACTCGGGCAACAAGCTCCAGAGCCAGGGCTTGCGAGCAACCTCCTGACGTGCCTCCTTCAACGCAGCCTCTCTACCCCGTCTAGATGAGGCGCCTTTCCACGTATAAAAAATGTACTCCAGAGAGTATCCAAGACGTTCCGCCTGTAGCATCAAAAGGGCTGAGTCTGCTGGGTCCATAATGGTCAGTTCGTTCTGTTACGGTCTCAGGTACTTAGGATGTTGGACCCAATTGCAGACAGGGAGACAGAGGTAAAGTATTGTAAGATACTTTATTTTTCCATGACTGGCAAAAATTAACAAAAAGGTAACCACCAAAACTCTAGTCGAGATGACAAAAAAACAGAGAACAAAAAATTAAGGCGCTCACGCAGTGAGGAATCAAAAACCTTTCATGAGTACCAGGAGCATAGACCTTACCATGACAATAGACAAGACGAACTGACACTGAACACTGGGAGACAGGGGAATTTAAACACAGGGTAACTAGACACAGGTGGGAACAATCAGGGGCGGGGCTGACACTGATGAGCACAGGAGACACACAAGTGCGGCTTTCACACCAGCGCTTTTCCCTGTCTAGCTCCGAGCTAGAGCTTTTCTGGTTCAGCTCCGGTTTCCCTTTTCTGCTCCCGCTCTGTTCACACCGCCCAGCACCCGACTGGTGCTGCCGCTGCTGCGTCATGACGTCACCGTTTACATCGCTTATTTGCTCCCCAACAGCGTTACGGCGCTCACAACAACAACAACGGGGAACTGCGTCGGGTCGATGATCATGTTGGCTTTTAATCACACGAAGCCAGAATAAATTGAATAACGACTTCTCCAACCTTATACTTTGCTCCAGAGTGCCGTGGTTCATTGTTTATTAATGTGTTTCTGCAGCATTTACCTACCGCTGCAGTGTTGGCTGCTCTTCCACGGGAGTTTATTCTCCTCCGTTAGCTCCCGGTTAGCTCACACTGCAGCGGCCGCTCTAAAGTATTCACTGTCCGACTCACACAAGCAGCTGATACATATCCCCAGTTCCCCTTAGCCTAAGTGAATGTGTGTCAGTCTGAATTGACGCTGTTTGGTATCACAACGCTGTTATGAAAGTTTCTCTGGTATAAAATGGGTGATGTTAGCATAGCAACCGAAGCTAAACTGACTACTTGCTATTGCTATCCTATTGTGGCATAAATCGTTTTCTACAGGCACATTTTACCGGCGTATTTTTATTATGATTCTACTTGTGATAGTCGGACACGACAACCTGTGCAGCCCATGTATTGATTCCATCCGATAGCTGCTATAATACAAAACAACACGTTTGCCTCTCTCCACAATGATCAATAACAGTGAACGGATGGTCAAAGTAAGGTACAAATAAACAGAATCACACGAAGCCTGGTTAGTGTTGCCTGACTTTATAAAGTGTGTTTATAAGCACTACTGCTTGTAGGCAGGCATGACAGTCGACCCATGTTCAGGGGAGGTGGGTTTAGTTTCCTGCACGCCTCGACGTAAGAGAGACGTAAGCAACGCCACCTCTTAGCTCCGAAGCTCTTGCCTCTAGACCGACCATTTTTGGGAGCTGGAAGTGAACCGGATTCTGGAGCTAAGAGCCGGAGCCGCTGCGGTGTGAACAGGAAAAACCGGCGCTTTTCAGGCTCCAGCTCTGAGCTGGAGCTGAAAAAGCGCTGGTGTGCAGTGGCGTTTTCTCCCGGAGGCCAAGGGAAGCCAGGCTTCCCCTGTTTTTTCGGATTGTAGTTATAATTTAAATAAATAAATAAAAACACTTTGTTTTGTTTCGATAATTCTCCTTTGCTGTGTGTTGCTGCCGGCCCGGCTCTCCCCCATTCTCATTGAGTATTTTACAAAGAGTGAAACAAACAGCGCCCCTCTAGATGTTATGGTGAAACAGTAGATTGCACTCACTGTTGCGAGAGGAGGCCAGCCGAATCTAGCTTCCCTTGGTGAAAAAAAATGGAGGGATTGACCAATCAGATGAGGCCCACGTGATGCCCCTGCCAACCTGTGATTGGTCAGGGCCATGCCAAGGGAAGCTAGCCGCCTCTTGTTTCCCTTCAGAGGCGGCTGGCGGCTGGCGATTTGATTGGACACTGCCATCCAATCAAATCACATCAACATCAGTTTTAATACTGTAACTGTCATCACCGCCGTTAGAAATTATCAAGCAAATGAAGCATTATGGAGGGTGGAGATTTGGCGTACTTAATCAAACATAACTTTACTAAACTTCCGCTACAGCAGCAACTACAAATTAAATCAGATGACAGGCAAATGCCCGCACTCGAGCTGTGTGTACGCAGAGGAAAAAGGGAGAGAATCGGACGTTCAATGAGGACAATTATGTCCGCACGGAGTGGCTAACTGGAAGCGCTAAACTTCAGCGTCTAATTTGCTGGCCATGTCTTCTTTTTGACAAGGATTCGTGCTCCCTGAACAATCCTTGGGCAACTTCAGGATTCATCGACCTTGCTAACCTGTCAGGGGCAATTGAGAGGCACGGTAAATCCAAAAATCACATAGATTGTGTGATTGTCTGCATACATTAATAAGTAAAATGCTTAAATTAATAAGGAGAGAGTTTCAGCTGGAGAGTGCGTGCGGACCTGTCGGTTAGATAACAGGCGTGTGCAAGTCCTGCATCTGTGTGATACAAATGTGTGTAAAATGATACCGGGCGCTGTAATCACTCATCTGGTTACGTTATTGACCACCCCCCGACCCAAAAAATGGGCTTCCCCTACATTTTTCCCCACGCCACGCTACTGCTGGTGTGAAAGGGGAAAAAGTAGTGATAGGTGAAAACAATCAGGAAATTAGACACACCAGGGAAACTAACGACATACATGAAAACACAGGGAAAAGAGACCAGACAATATACAGGGAGGAAAACATGACAAGGAGAACGGAAAAACACCCACACCTAGACATAGAAACGTGACATGACATAATAATCCTGACATGTTGCTCTCAAAGTGCACCAGATTGATGCGTTTAACTTCAATATTTAAAAAAAAACCCTCCTGTTAGGTCCACTCCCCACTTCTAAAAATAGCACTTTACCCCTGCTTACACCTATATGCCGTGAGCTGATTATCGAGCCTTCATTGTAACGGTCGCGGGTACACCGTGTATTTGTGTGGGGATTGTTGCAGTAGAAAATTCCACTGTAGCGCCCGGTACATTAATGGGAAACCCTAAATGTTTGAGCACCCTCTATGAAACGTCAAGCTACCCCACAGTACCCCCAAAAGTGAGCCTGTAACCCCGTTTTGAAGAAATGTGCAGTGCAAAACAGGCTCATTGTAGCCACTAATGCTGTGATAACACACACTTTTTTGCCAAATATCAGTATTTTCTTTCTTTCTTTTCATTTGTTTGCACAGATTGCAAAGTGGCAAAGTATTATAACTTATTGTTCCAGCAAAGGGATTGCACAATTGTATTATGTATTTATTTTTTGACCACACAGACTTATGGAGCATTGCTTTATTATCACTGTTCTAGCAAAGGAATGCACACGTTCATATTGATGTATTTTGATAAATGTTAACTTGGCCCATTACGTGACTATTTGTGTTGGGGGGGCCCGACTTTTTTTTTTTCTCCAAAGGGGGGGCCTGACAGAAAAAGTTTGAGAACCACTGAGCTAAAGCCAGGTGATCTGGCTGACTTTCTCTCTCAAAATAAATAAATTAGTCAATCTAAGATCAGACAAAGGCAAAAGTTATTCTTAAAACTACGTTTATACTGGCATCAGGTCCCTTAGAGTTTTTTATCCCTTAGATTTTTAAATGATCAGGTTCGTCTTGAATAAAGATACAAAGGATGGAAGATTTCTGACATTAATATTGGGAATTGTTCACTCTTGTGGACACCTTGAGGAGGCAATGTAATGATTAAACAATTGTAGATTCTGAGGGAGGGAGAAAATGAATTGCAAATAAGGAGAATGACATCATCTGCATAAAACTACCAACAGTAAGTTACCCTGTGCTCTATATTGCAACAGCCTCTTGTGTTTATCAAAATAACTTTGAAACGACTACAGAATTAAATTGCTAGGCTTTTAACCAGAACCTGGACGTACTTCACATCACACCTGTTTAAGCTGTTTGTGCCTTAGCTCCCTGTTTGTTTTTAATTATTTTAATATCTTATTGATTACTTTAAAGAATCTCCGTGATCTGGCCAAAGAAAAAAGCACATAAAGAAGTGGTGAAAGCTCCACTGTTTGCACTCTTGTGCCACAGTGTAAGTGAAGAACTTCATTTTTGCGGACATATGCCAAAGAGGAAGTGTTTAATAACTCAATCTAACTCATAAGCCGCATCGGTCATTATTGCATTCAATCTTTAAAAGTCATAAACAAAATGATTCACATGTTCATTTGGAATGTTTAAGATTTTTATTATTTGCTTTCAACCTAATTCTTCTAATAGTTTTACAAAAAGCCTTCCGTTCCGGCGAAAACTTCCAATGGCTCTTATTCATTAGCCAGACAATGGCATTGGGATGAAGAGTGTATGGCTGCTGAGATTGGATTTTCTGTTGAAAGTCATTCATGAGAATTCATTTCTTCTTTTCAGCAACTTTAGCAGCCTTGGTGACTTTTCCACTAGCATCTTTTTTCTCAACCTTTTTAATGACACCGACAGCCACTGTCTGCCTCATGTCACGCACAGCAAAGCGACCTGAGATCAAGAGATATAAAGAAAAAACTTAAACAGAGGAGTCAAGAGGCAATAGAAGATCATTTTGTGCTCATTTCATGTCATGACAGAACCTAAATGAAAAGATCTGGCATAATAAATTAGATGTTTTACACAAGAAGCATTTTTTGCATATGCAAATCCATTGATTTTAATCTAGACGTGCAGAGTGCTTGACGGCTTTGCCCTCAGATATGGATTATTGGGCATCAAAAACTTTCTGCCAACAAATAAATGCCTCAACAAGATTCTGTGTTGTGTAGAGGCAGAGTAAAGAAAACCCTACTCACCCAGTGGAGCATAGTCGGTGAAGGCCTCTACCACCAAGGGCTTCTGAGGAGTCATTATGACAATGGCAGCGTCTCCTGACTTGACAAACTTGGGGTTGTCCTCAATCTTCTTGCCAGAACGACGGTCGACCTTCTCGGTGAGCTCGCTGAACTTGCAGGCAATGTGAGCTGTGTGGCAATCCAGCACGGGGGCGTAACCTGCACTGATCTGTCCGGGATGGTTCAGGATGATGACCTGAAATAATAATGTTTAAGTGCATTTAGAAATGATGAGGAGAGATCTCACTTTGAGCCTGAGATGATTGCACTTCCTGATAATGGGCAGCAATCATGCATCTCTTTCATCTCAAGTCACTATGACTATTTGAAAAATATCTTGCTACATTAATCAATATATTTAGGGGTTTAAGGCAGGGGTTCCCAAAGTGGGGAATCAAAATTGCAAATAAAAAAAAAAAAAATGTTATCAATTTTTTTAATCAATTTTTTTATTATTATTAATAATAACATGTGCATATACATTTTTCAGGGCCGGACTAGCCATCTGTATAATTTCCCTGCAGCGAGGCTTCCCCCTTTTTCATACCAAGGACCAATAAAAAAACACTTCACAAATATCCCAAAACAATAGGTCTGCTTACCAGTACAACAGTAGGCTACATTACAGCCTAATAATGACAGCTAACCACTACATCTCTATATCGCCTCGTTCACACAATAAATCAACAATACAAATACAACTACAGATCATAAGCATTTTGTTCAAATGCGATTTAAAATGCTCTCAGGTTTTACACCTCTTATGAAATGTAGACTACATTTATTACGGAGTTTATGTCCGAGCCAACAGACTCACAGATATTTGGCTACAGAGAGAAATGCAAAATACACCGCATGTAGTACGACACAAACCACCGCTGTGGATTTTCTAAACAAAATACAGAAAAACTATGGTCGCAGGCCCAAGTTTAACTCTCTGAGCCCCCCCCCGCCCCCGTTGACAGGGGTCGCCAGTCTCTCTCTGGCACCGTTATTTTGGGGGTCGCGGGCTGAAAGGTTTGGGAACCCGTGGTTTAAGGGATAGGTAAAAGTAGATACCTGACATTTTGACCAATAAATGGAAGATATGTGGTGAAGGGTTAGGGTGTTGGGGTAGCGTCTCAAAATAAAAAAATGTTGCACTGTTGAATGGACTTTAAAATGTAGATTTTGAAAATAAAACTAATAACCAAGGAAGTATAATTCATTTCAACCTTTGCAGGGTGGCGTGGCTGAGTCCTGCACTTTTTGTGATCTGTACATTCAGTCCTTTTCAGTTTAATAGAAAATACAGTTTCACTTAACGAGTCATTAAGAAGGAAAGAGGGAAAGGACGGTTAATATTTCTTTATATCCCTTTTATTTAATTTCTTCAGACTCACCTGGGCAGTGAAGTTCTCAGCTCCCTTGGGTGGATCGTTCTTGCTGTCGCCAGCCACGAATCCACGGCGGATCTCTTTAATGGACACGTTCTTGACGTTAAACCCGACGTTGTCACCGGGCATAGCCTCAGTCAGAGACTCGTGGTGCATCTCAACAGACTTCACCTCAGTGGTGAGCATAACAGGAGCAAAGGTGACGATCAAACCAGGCTTCAGGATACCGGTCTCAACCCGGCCCACGGGCACAGTTCCAATACCTGGGAGAGCAGACATTTTTTTAATATGCTCCTCTGTTCAATTCAAAGAGAAAATAGTCTTAAAGGATTACTTTGCCAATTTTTTACCCGTTTTTTTGTATAGTTGCAATGCAGGCAATATATGCAAATGAACAGTGTTTGGCTTTCCTCCATGTTACTGTCGTCAGGGAGCTCTGGGCAGGGAGAGGTAAGCCAATCATATTTCCTTCCCCATTGCAACCATACAAAGTAATCCATTAATTAGGAGAAGATTAATTGAAGTGTCAACTGTAATTGGAGTCTTTTGGGGCTGAGCTGCGGGAACTTAAGATTGCGGTCCATACCATGGAAGATGTACAAGTAATAAAAGTAGGTAAGATATCTGTGATAGTCCAAAGTTACCGCCAATTTTGTAGACGTCCTGCAGGGGCAGACGGAGGGGCTTGCCGGTGGGGCGGGACGGGGGCAGGATGGCATCGAGAGCCTCCAGCAGAGTGGTTCCACTGCCATTAGCCTCCTTACGCTCAACCTTCCATCCCTTGAACCATGTCATCTGAGGACAGATTCAAAATAAATATTTAGTTCCAAGTCTAATCCACCCTGTACACAAGTCAGGCACCTTAAAGTAACATTTCTCACCTTTTCACTGGCTTCCAGCATGTTGTCTCCGTGGCATCCAGAGATGGGGACAAAGGCCACGGTGGCGGGGTTGAAGCCGATCTTCTTGATGTAAGTGCTCACTTCCTTGGCGATTTCTTCATAACGGGCCTGGCTGTAAGGGGGCTCAGTGGAGTCCATCTTGTTGACTCCAATGATGAGCTGCTTCACACCAAGGGTGTAGGCCAGCAGGGCGTGCTCACGGGTCTGGCCGTTCTTGGAGATACCGGCCTCAAACTCACCAACACCGGCAGCAACGATCAGCACAGCGCAGTCAGCCTGAATATGGAGAAATGTTTTTTATTTTTGACATATTTGCACGCTATGTTAAAGCCAAATAGATGGTTTTGTGTGTATTTTCAAAATCATAAGAACATGGCCATAACCCGTTGTGTCTTTTCGGCCGTGCCGATGCGAGGCGACACAACAGTCGGGTCTCCGTCTGTGTCAGTTCTTTGGTGTCAGCTTGGTGTGTCCCTACCTTAAAGGCCCGGACACATCAAGCTGACACCAAAGCACTGACACAGACGGACCCCCATGTGTCGCACTGGAACACACCGCAAAGACTTCAGCCGACGGCCAAGAAGCACGTACGAACTGCGCATGCGTGAGTGGCAATAACTCTCCTTACCAGCAGGCGGCGGTAGTGTGTATTCGTCATTCAAAAGAGGCAACAACCGGAAGACAGACTGCGTGATAACCGAGAGAAGAAGAACAGACTGCGTGATATAAACAAACAACGAATAGTGTGTGCGTTCCATTTTCACTCTACAACGAGAAGCTCATGGGGCTTTCCCGAACCTGTGTCGAGAGCTGGAGTTAAATGAAATCTCAGATTTGCCTTCTTAATCATTTGTTTGGGTCCCTCACTTCCGTTTCGCTTCTCATGCACTGATTCGCTAGCTGAACAGCCAATCAGAGTGATTTATTTTGCTGACAGCCTTTGGCCGACTGCCCACCGATTCGACATGTTGAATCGGTGGGTTTTCAGTCGAAAAGGTGTCGGCACGGCTGAAAAGACACAACGGTGCGGGATACACCAATCTGAGTAGGGCATATCGACGCTCGTCGTCGGCCTGACGCCCATCGACGGCCAAAATCGGCTTGGTGTGTCCGGGCCTTTAGCCGACAACCTCCCAATTCAACATGTCGAATCGGCGGCGGAAGGTGTCGGCACGGCCGAAAAGACACAACGGTGCAGTACACACCAAGACACACCAATCTGAGTATGGCGACACGATGCTCATCGACGGCCCGACATCTATCGACGCCGAAAATCGGCTTGGTGTGTAAGGACCTTAAAGGCTATTTACCCACTTGTTATATGCAACCGCCTTTTTAAGCCACATATTCACAAGCCGGGTGTTCATTGACGCAATTTATGTACCAGAACAAATCAACAAGTCTCTTAGGCTCATTTGAATCATAAACCTTATTTTAGGCATTTACATTTTTTTTCGTTTCAGACGAGGGCATCAGAATTGCTATTATGCTAGCTTATTTTCTCATTCCTACATCACGCTATGGGGTAAAACTAGCATTTTCTTTTTATTATTTTGTATGCACTAGCAAGCTGAACATCTGGGATCTGGGAACTTCAATTTAACTTTTTTATAAAACGGGATTTTAGGGACTACTACAACTCCAAAATACTGGTTGTTGCAATATTGGCAATATACCCTGAACCTGATAAGAGGTTCTGCTAGAAAGATTACATCCTGAAAGTAAAAGTAAAGAAAGAGCATGTTAAAGGGTGTGTCTTCACCTGAGAGGTACCAGTGATCATGTTCTTGATGAAATCCCTGTGTCCAGGGGCATCAATGATGGTCACGTAGTACTTGGCAGTCTCAAACTTCCACAGAGCGATGTCGATGGTGATACCACGCTCACGCTCTGCCTTCAGTTTGTCCAACACCCAGGCGTACTTGAAGGAGCCCTTGCCCATCTATTGTGGTTAAAACAACACAGAAAGAGTAGGAAATCGGAAAAACAAAATGAGTGGTGAATCAGGAATGGAGTTTAACAAAAAATGAAACAATAAACAGAAACATATGCAAATCCAATTTTTGGAAACATCATTTTATCTTTAAAAATGTTTTTATAATTTGAAAACGTTACAGTTTTGACGTCATGTTAAAGATTTCCACTGAAATTAGCGTGCTAACTAACTAGCCTCAGCCCATCGTGTCTTGTAATCTAGTCAGGGCCGTTTGATTGATTGATTGATTGATTGATTGATTGAAAAGTTTATTAACAGCTTGTATATTGGGTACAGTACAGTACAGCTCAAAACATACAATTGTTAAGGGGATGCAGACCAGAGAAAGACTTTCGTCTTGTTTACATCAGGGTCCCCCATTTCCAATTCATCATGTCATTTAAGACATATAAGACATATTTGACATACAGATGGCTTATTTACAATTTACATACAGGTGGTTTTTTACATACAGATTGCTTATTTACAATTTTCATTTTAGATTTTGTTCTAATACATCCTAACCGGACATTTAAGACATACCAAGTCTACAGATATACAGTTAGTAACAGAATCTAAAATGCGAGTATATACATAGATGGGGGGGGGGGGGGAAGCTGTCCATTGAACGACAGGTTGAGATTTGTACCATTACCGGGGCCAGTTTTGCAATGCTCTCCCCCGAAGGTGCTCTTTAAGAGAGGTTTTGAAGGTAAGTATAGTTTTACTTTCCTTTACAGTTGTGGGAAGAGCGTTCCACCTTGATGTGGCATAATTGCGAAACGTTTATTCCCCCTTTTTTGTGCCAAATCTGAGTTTCACATGATTTGTGGAGCTCCCTCTGGTGTTATGATCATGGTATTCCTTGACCTTTGGGAAGAATTTTGACATGTACATGTCCCTCCCTACAGGCCGATCACGCAGACTGCGTGGGGCCTCATCTCGCGGGGGGGGGGGGGCCTCATCTCGCGGGGGGGGGCCTCATCTTGCGGAGGGAGCCTCAACTGAGCCTCAACTGAGCCTCAACTGAGCCTCAACTGAGCCGCAAATGCGGCGCACCTATGCGCTTATGCGGCGCAATTAGTGTGGCCCGTCGACGCTCGCGAAACAGAGGGCCTCATCATCTAACTTTGCGTGGGGCCTCAAGTTGGCCAGGGACGGCCCTGGCTCTAGTTGCCACAATTCGGATGGACAAAGGTGCGGAACTTTTACTGTGGATATAGTCCAATAAACCCATTTACTAACTCCACACGCAGGTGGAGTACGCGTATAAACAGAAAGGAGGCCAACGCCTCGCAGTGTTCATTTGGCCAGTTCTAAGATATTTAGCAGGGAAATGTGCATATTCTTCAGGTGACCGTTAATATCAAGCTTTTTGACAGATGACTGTAAATTTGATTGGATGCAGAAGTATCAGTAAGGTGAAATGCTGCCCCCTATTTCTAAGAGCATCTGTCTCTGAACTACATATTGCACCTTCAACACGAGTATTGAGGGAAGACTTGTTAAAGTTTGTACACGTATTTCAACAGTAGATGGCAGTTGTAACAAGGCAAAATTAGGAAGCAGTTACATTCACCACACCTGTTTTTCCACACCTGACACATGTCAGTTTGGGCCTAAAATGTATCAAGTTTAAGGCCTCTGGTGTCTCCTAAAACCAACCTCAGCGGCTTCCTTCTCGAACTTCTCGATGGTTCTCTTGTCGATTCCTCCGCATTTGTAGATCAGATGACCGGTGGTGGTGGACTTGCCGGAGTCGACGTGGCCAATGACCACGATGTTGATGTGGAACTTTTCCTTTCCCATTGTTGATGTTCTGGCTCTAAACAACATGACGGGCAGTTATATTGACTTTTAAATTCAATATTTCAGTTTCACATTCATCTGGTAAATAAAGTAGGATCAGTGGGACCACCATTGAGGTCCGTACCACTCAAACAGGTTATTCAAAATCAGTTAGCTGTTAGCTAGCAGGACTCTCTTGCAAAATAGAGTTTTAATCTCAATGAGAATTTCCTAGTTATATAAAATCAAAGAATAGTAAAATAAGTAAAGTAATACAAAAAAAACGTTTTTAAAAAACCGAGTAGCCCTCCTTATTTTACCAAATATTTTAGGTTGCCCAATTATTAACTATGTTTTCTATGCAACGCACCATGTTAAATGAACTGATAATATATTTTGTTTTAAATCTGAAAAGTATTCAGTAAATGGGAAATAAATGTAATCCAAACCATTTGATCAGCAACCAATTGCCAACAGTCAGGTTTGTGGTGGTATTTTTAGAGTTAGAACTTTTTTTTTAAACACACACACAAAAGTTTAATGGAATCGGTTCACATGTCAGATCTAAACATATTCCAGCCTTTTGACTCATCTGGTTGCAAAGCAAAATGGACGAGGTGGATGCGTGTCGTCTCTTGCCCTTCTTTATCAATCTGCACCCTCACTTCCTGCTACTTCAGCTACTATGTGATCTGTGGAAAACGCCTCTCCTATAACCTCCTCCTTCTGCGTATCTGTTTAATGAATGTTTGTACTGTTGCTTTAATTTCCTCTACGGACTTGTCCAACTAGTTTTGCCAGTGTCTTCTTGTTCATTATATTTTTAATAACTACGCCTGCAAGAATAATAATCTGCAGTAGAAGCGAGAAATATTTTACAGATAATGAAAAACAACAAAATAAGTGACCATAGTTATGCGGATGACACACAAATGTACGTAACAATTTCACCAGGAGACTATGCTCCAATTCAAACACTGAGTAAGTGCATTGAACAAATCAATGACTGGATGTGTCAGAACTTTCTCCAATTAAACAAAGATAAAACTGAGGTAATGGTTTTTGGAGCCAAGGCAGAACGTATAAAAGTTAGTGCTGAGCTTCAGTCTGCAATGTTCAAAACAACAGATAAAGCCAGAAATCTAGGTGTAGTCATGGACTCTGACCTGAGTTTCAACAGTCGCATTAAAACAATTACTAAAATCAGCCTACTATCACCTAAAGAATATATCTAGGATTAAAAGACTAATGTCACAGCAGGATTTGGAAAAACTTGTCCATGCTTTTATCTTCAGTAGACTGGACTACTGCAATGGTGTCTTCACAGGTCTCACTAAAAAATCTATTAGGAAGCTGCAGCTGATTCAGAACACCGCTGCTCGAGTCCTCACTAACACTAAGAAAGTGGATCACATCACTCCTGTTCTGAAGTCTTTACACTGGCTTCCTGTGTGTCAAAGAATAGATTTCAAAATACTGCTGCTGGTTTATAAAGCTTTGAATGGTTTAGGCCCAAAATACATTTCTGACCTCCTGCTAAATTATGAACCATCCAGATCTCTCAGGTCTTCAGGGACTGGTCAGCTTTCTGTCCCCAGAGTCAGAACTAAACATGGAGAAGCAGCGTTCAGTTATTATGCTCCAAATATCTGGAACAAACTCCCAGAAACCTGCCGGTCCGCTGCAACTCTGACTACTTTTAAATCCAGGCTGAAGACTTATCTTTTTGCCGCTGCTTTTAATTGAACTATTCATATCTTTATTCTTATCTTTGCTTTTTAATGACTGATTTTAAATGCCATTTTCTTAATGTCTTTCATTTTTTGTAAAGCACAATTGCCTTGTGTTGAAAGGTGCTATATACATAAACTTGCCTTGCCTTGCCTTACATAGAGGAAATGCAATGAAACACAAAAGAAACATCTTCATTTGGCAATGTTTATGTTTTTTATTGTTTTGGTTTCAACTTAATTATGATCATAGATTCCCCTAAAAAGGCCCAAACCTTCCTTTCCTGCGGAAACTTTTACGATGGGTTTTAATCAGCATAAGCCATTCCTTTAGTAGAGAGCTCTGTCTCAGAGCAGACGGCGCTGAGGGGCAGGGAGGAAGGGACGGGGTGGGCCGCTGCTGCTGTGACGTGACTCTTTGTCGGACGTCCTGTAAGAAAATTCATTTCTTCTTGTCGGCCTTCTGTGCAGACTTGGTGACCTTTCCGCCGGAGGGGAGCTTCTTGTCCACAGACTTGATGACACCAACGGCAACAGTCTGCCTCATGTCACGCACAGCAAAACGACCTGAGAGGAGAAGGTGGATATGAGAAAAGAAACAAAAAGGAGGAGGCAATGAGAGGCCGAAAAGATGCCGTCCTATCTGTTTATTCAACCTTTTTTTCTTATCATACAATAATTAGTCTTTAAACACTTGTGGTTTTTTTCTGTCTATTTCATTATAGCTAAGAAAAAAACTAGCTGGCCGGCTCTGTTGTGATTGGTCAACCGTTTAGAGATGTCCCGCCCCATAGTTTATCACGTGCAATGTGTTGGAGCACCAGCCAATAGAAGAGTGAGTGTTACATAGTGATTCCATTATGTTACGGAAGTAAGAAGTAGTCCAATTGAGGTGTTTCAGGGGATTGGGGAGTGTGAGGGAGAAAGTCCCTCTGGAGGGACTTTGGGGATGTTAGCCTTTGCAGACCATTTACCTGTACCGAAAACCGTAATAACACACTACAGGAAAAGAAAACTCAAAAAAGCCCATTTACGGGGTGGTGACTTTCACGATTGACAAAGCTGTTCTCCGACTTAGATATTGCAATATAGCAAAATTGTGGCTTGTTTTTCTTTATCGTACTAAAGTCTTTGGTCCCAAAACTTCCCATAAACGTAACATACTATAATAAAGGTTGTTACGTGCCGCAGTGGGTGCTTGTGTGTGTGTGTGTGCTTTTGTGTGTGTGTCTCCTCTCTCCCTGATTGTCTGCAGCCTCTCCCCCAGGTGCTCCCAATCCCCAATCAGGGCCTCCTTAAAGGACCTGAGGAAGGCTGCAGCTCCTTCTCCTCTGGCTGTGTGTGTGCAGCATGTGTGGCGTGGCGTGGCGTGGCGTGGCGTAGTGTAGTGTAGTGTAGTGTAGTGTAGTGTCTCTGTGTGAGGCCTAGTTTAACCTGTGTTTTGTTTATTGTTAGGAAATGTGCTCCAGTTTACCTTTTTTGGTGTATTGTTTAATTTAGTCACTTTATTTTAGAAGAAAGTTGTTCTTCGTTACTTTAAGTTTGTTTTGCAAATGGGCTGGTGAGCCTCTTTTCTTTTTTATTAATTAAAGCATCACTTTGTGGCTTCAACAGTCAGTTTCCTCTCCTTTTTCTCTCGCCCGGTTATTTTTGTGTTTTGTTACTTCCCTTTGTAACCTTTAAGTGGATGGTTAATATGTTTCCTTCACACTTTTGCTTTTGTCAATACACCCACTTTTCCACCTCAGACAAAGTACCAAAAAATGTTAGAAGAAAAACTTTGAATTATTATTTTCCTATTTTTCAGCATTTTCCTTCAGTTTGTTTTATGTGTAAAATAGGAAATGCACATTAAAAACCAATAGACGGAAACGCAGGTGGTAGGAGCTGACAGGGAGTTGGCTTCTATAAAGCTGCTGAGGTTTTATACTCAGCCATTTGCAGCTTTAACTAGACCTTGTCTCACAGTGAAGTTTTGAATTGTTGTAGCAGGTGTGACCCATTCTGCAGGTCCTTAACATCTGTCAGGGTGTAACCGTCATTGACGTAAGCAGCTACAGTGGCGGCAAAATGTCTGCATTGATATAACGGGGCAACTTGCCAAAGTGCTTTGTTTTGAACGTTCATCAGTATTATAATCAAAAAGAGAAATATGAACGTTAGTTTTTACTGAAATGATCAAATAAAGTCAACATCTCACAGTCTTTACTGAGCTGTGTGGGGGTTGTTCAACTTTTAAAAGATGTTTGAATGGTGATGTACACAGTGATAGATGTTAAGGACTAACGTTTATAATAAATACATTTGTATTGATTTTAAGATATTTTCATAGTTCATACAATCATACGTATTGGGATCATTTGTATTAATGTGGACCGGAGGGAGAGGGTGACGAGCATAAGTTTCACTTTCCTTTTTTATTTCAATTCCAACTTTGGTAATGAAGAATATGTTTCTCTGTTGTCCACGTTCATAAAGCATAAAGCAACAGCATCAGAGCACGGTGCAGAGTCTCTAGATGAGTTTACAGTAGTCCCTCGTTCTTATTAAACATCCATGTTGTAGTCCGCTGTATAGAAAACTGTTGTTTCCATAGTTTCCCCACAGCAGCAGACGCACATTTATGACGTCCGCTGGCGCATCATAAACACGTCGGATAGTGAAAGTGCAGTCGATTCTCTAAAGTACCGCAGTCTCTTCTCCTAAGTCCTTTAGAATTCTCCTATCCACTATCCCTTAACCCCGTGACGTTTCACTCAGAGGTCAAGGAATAGACGATAGGGTTAGAACTTAGGAGCTGATTTTTGGACTATTCGACTGCAGCCCATGTACTGTATGAGGGGTGGCTGTGGCTCAGTGCATAGAGTGCTGGACTTCGAATCAGAGGGTAGCAAGTTGGAGTCCCACTGCAGTCAGCATGTCGTTGTGTCCCTGGGCAAGACACTTCACCCCAAATTGCTCCTGTGGGGATTGTCCACAGTACTGAATGTATGTAAGTCGCTTTGGATAAAAGCATCTAACAAATGACATGTAATGTAATTTAATGTATAAATCCAGGAATTAATCCAGTGAGTCACTCACCCAGAGGCGGGTACTGGGAGAAGCTCTCAACACACATGGGTTTTCCAGGCACCATGGTGATGATGGCGGCGTCTCCAGACTTCAGAGCCTTGGGGTTGTCCTCAAGCTTCTTGCCGGATCGACGGTCAATCTTCTCCTTGAGCTCGCTGAACTTGCAGGCAATGTGAGAGGTGTGGCAGTCCAGCACGGGGGCGTAACCCTGGGAGATCTGCCCGGGGTGGTTCAGGATGATGACCTGCAGAG